CTAATAATCTATAAAAAAAATTGATTTACAGGTCCTAACTGATTTCAGCTACGACGAAATCATTCAAATTATCACACCCTTGGAAGAATGTGGTTCTGAATCATTTGCATCTGTCTACAAAGGAAATTGGGATGCAAAAGAGGTTGCTGTAAAAAAATACGAAGCTGAACATGCAGATCTGGCTGAGGTTTTAATTATCCATTCATTTTGTATTACTAGCTATATTTTAATACTTGTAAATAATTTTAACCGTGTCTTTTTTATTTTTTTTGTCCAGACCGAGAGACAAGCATATTCTGATCTGGGATGCTATTCGAACATTGTAGAACCATTAGGATTCTGCTGGAGCACTCATTTTTACATAGTGATGAATTATGTCCCATATACGTTGCAGCAAGTAATTGAAGGTAACAGTGGTTGATACCGATTTTCTTGTTGGTTTTTGTGTTTATCCAATTTTCACATTTTATACTTTGTATCAATTTCGAATTTGAATTGGCATGAAACTCTACACGTATTGACTCAAGTTGCATATGCAATCCGAGCATTAGGAGAGGAAAAGTATATTCTTGCCGATATAAAGCCGGATAATCTCCTTATAGCTAAGGTATTTTCCAAAACATTAGTTAATTCCATATACATTATATGCACGCAAATATATACCTTTAGCGATAGCTAAGTTAGCCTCTCCCGAAAGTGTTGCGAATGCTAAGTGATGGAAACGAAGGAAGAACTTAAGAAGATAAGAGAGTTTGTAGGAAAATACTTTTATTGATTAAGTGCTTGTTGGATTTCTTGGATGGTTACAAATGAGGACCCTACCTCTATTTATACTAGACCACCTCCTTAATGGATGGTGGAGATCTTTTTGATCTAACGGTTGGGAGTGGTTCACTAGAACCCTCCAAAGAATTCCTACAAAAATATCTACAAGGGAGGGTTCTAGAATATTTTCTAGAATCCTCCAAGAATCTCTACTCCTCTATACATTTGGGCCAACTTGGGCCTAACCCTATTTGGGCTAAATCTTGGGCTTCTTAACCTCCCAACCCAAGGAAAACTGGCAAGGGGTTGGGCCAAAACTAGCGGGCCGTGACAAGACACACGCTTACTTCCCCCGCCCAGCAGAGAATCAATAAAAAGATGGCTATTCTTCTTAATCCAGCATCGCTACGATTACTTCCGCCGGCGCCGCCGCCATAGTAAAATACCACGCCAAAAGAGGGCGATTCTTCTTAATCGGCATCGCTACGATTACTTCCGCCGCCGCCACCGCCACCTCCTCATTTTCTTACGCCATTCACCGCCACAGGTTCGAGAACTTGAATGTGGTTCATATTGTTAGCTACTGTATTAGTGAGTAGTTTATTTAATTACGTATTAGTGGGTAGTTTACATTATGTTAGTGGGTCAGTAATTTAGTTCATGATGTTAGTGTTTTAGTGGATTATTAAGTGGGTTAGTGGTCCTTATTTTATGTTTTGTGTATGCCTATATAAAGGCTATTTCCATTGAAGTGTTTAATATATTACAGTAGTTCCCTTCATCTCTTTGTTTTTCATTATTATTATCATCTTTATTTACTATCAGTGGTATCATCGGGTGAGGTCCTAAAATAAAATAAAAAATAAAAAAAATTTGAGTGAGAGTTGTTCCAACAAAAAGAGAGAAAAGAAAGGTGATTGAAACAAAAAGAGAGAAAAATAAGGTGAGGGAAACATAAAAAGAGAAAATACGTGAGATAAAGCTGTAGCTTTATCATCCATGGGTTCAGAAAATAACTTTGTGCAGGCAGCCATTCCACACTTTGACGGTCATTACGACCACTGGAGCATGTTGATGGAGAATTTTCTGCGATCCAAAAAGTATTGGCCAATCGTAGAAACTGGTGTTGGAGAACCTAGAAATGTCGAAACTTTGACGAAAGGTGAAAAAACAGACTTGGAAGCGAGATGGCTGAAAGATTTAAAGGCGAAAAATTATCTCTTTCAGGCGATTGATCGTCCCATCTTGGAAACTGTTATTTGCAAATAAACTTCCAAAGATATTTGGGATTCCATGAAAAAGAAATATGAAGGCTCGATGAGGGTGAAGCGTGCACAACTTCAAGCCTTGAGAAGGGATTTTGAAACACTCCAGATGAAAGATGGAGAATCAATCACTAGCTATTGTGCTAGAATTATGGAGATCAGCTACAAAATGCGTTTCCATGGCGAGAAGATGGGAGATGTCACTATCGTGGAGAAGATATTGCGTTCCCTAACACCAAAATATGATTATGTTGTATGTTCCATTGAAGAATCAAAGGACATAGATGCACTTTCTCTCGATGAATTGCAAAGTTCATTGTTGGTCCATGAACAAAACATGAACCGAACTTCAACAGTAGAGGAGCAGGCCCTAAAGGCTTCTACTAATACTCATTTCTCTAGTTATAGAGGAAGGGGTAGAGGTAGAGGAAGGGGAGATCGAGGTGGTAGATATGGAGGAGGAAGAGGAGATCGAGGCGGTAGAGGTAATATGAACATTAAAGCAAACAAACTACAAGAAATATTGGTTTTAGTGACGATTTTGTATGGTCGCTAAAAGTTAGAAAATGGTAGCTAAAACTTCTAGCGACCAAATTAAGCCTTGTCACCGGTGGTCACAACAGGGTAGCTACTAAAAGTACTCAGTGACAAGAAAATTAATTGGACGCTAAAAGATATGATTTAGCGGCGAACTAATAATGGTCACTAAAAATATAATTATTAACGACCAATTTTTGACTCGCTAATGTAAATTTTATGGTGGCAATAATATTAACATGGTTGCTATAACAACATATATAGTGGCCATATAATTTTGATCGCTAAATGATATATACGTATAGTGACCATATTTTATTGTTGCTATAGAATATATATTTGGCCACCACATTGTTTGATTGCTACATAATATACATATAGTGACGGTATATGTTGGTTGATAAATAATATATATGTTGGTTGCTAAAATATATACATATAGTGACCATATTATTGGTTGCAATAGTTTTTACATGGTTTCGACAATTATTAAATTTACTTACCAATTTAGATCAATAATTAATTGATTGCATTAATCATTAATGTTTATTTGCAACAGTAGCTGTAAAAAAAATTAAAATAAAACTAAAGATTGCAAATTTACATATTATCAATCAAATGTGAATATTATAATTTCAATCTATCATATAAAAATACAATAGTGAATCAATCATTCCAAATAATAAGAAAGATTACTATAATTATTTCATAATAAATTCCACTTCATAATTTGTTAAGCGACAACAAATATGACTTCCACGATAACGTTCTTTCACTTCATCAATTAGTCCAACCTGAAACAGGGAAAAAAAATTCAATTAGAAAATAAGAAATCATATGATAAAATCAATTTCAATCATTTGTCACTTTGTAGCACTCATAATTAAATAATGTATCTGGGCTCTTGCATAAGTAGCTACTTACCTCGTCCAGTCCATGTGTTTAATGTGATGCATTGTCTGAGAATTATTAGTTAGGACGGAAATTGTAATTCATTTGTTCTACTTCATATAATAATTGAAGAAGCTTAAAAAACAATTAATACGAAATATTGCATGAAATGGATCACAAGTCAAGAAAGGTACGATCAATGGTTTCAATAAGAGAGTGACCACAATTCAAGATCGTATAACAATTGATGAAGATGGATCTCAATCAATAATAATCTACGGTTAAAATTGAATCTGTAGTTGTATAGCTCGAAAGACAAGTGGTTTCAAAGGATCAATGAGAAGTCAAGATATGAACGATCCATCAATTCATAGTAGGTACGAAACGAATGATTTAATGGATAAACACAATAATCCTAAATGGTCCAAGAGTCGGGAAAAGAACGATTTACGTTCATTGACCCCTGTAGAAACAAATCAAATGATTTAATAAATCATAATAGAAGTGGTTCCAACTAGTATACAAGTCAACATGTGAAACGACTTAAAATTGATAGAGAATCAGATTGAAACTCGTTGAATTATTCAAGGTCGATAAATAAAATCAATTGAGTAGTCAAGGAATCGAGAAAATAAATTATTGGAATAATTCCCGAATCAAGATGAGAACTTATTAAGTTCCAGAAAAAAAGATTTCGAATCGTTCGAAGATTGCAATAGCTCAAGAATCAACAATTCTCGGAAATCAAATTAGTTCACAAGATAGGCGACAATAAATATATATATTGAATTTAAACGACGAGTAATAACAATAATAAACCGAACGATACGATTGCTCCGCATATATCCTGTTTCCCAGAAAGAATAGGCAAGTGATAGGGATCATCACCTGAAGTCCAGTGCAAGGTGCTATAAATAAATATCCTTACGCTCAAGCCATGCTCAAGCCTTGAGTGGGAGCTTTAGTACGGTCGATACCTATAAAAATATTCATCACTTAACAAGATTCTAATATAACCGTATTATTCCACTATATCACTTAGTCAATTTCTTGAAACATTTTTTAAGAATTTCTTGTCGCCACGGCTAATTCTAACAATCACTACGATCACCATACTTATCCGAATAGCCTAAACTATATATCAAATTAAAGATAACAACTTCGTCTACAAGTTCACTAGAGAAACCAGCCCCAAATTATCGACCTAACACAGCAGTAACAGCCCCGGAAGATAATCATGCATGAAACTGCTACGCTTTGTTTAAACAAATGCATTTGCTGGCACTGTTTATTTGAAAAATCATAACAATTTGTAGTGTTATCCGAATTGTCCAAATAATAGACCAAATTGAACCTTACAATGTAAACTACAAGTTCTCAGAAGACACACAGCCCAAATTATTAGCTCAACATAGCAAAAACGGCCTTGTAAGAAGAATATTCAAAACTGCCCTGTTTTACAGAATTACAGTCACTTAATTCGGACCTCTAATCAGCTTCAAAACATACTCTAACGCGATACAATTTTACACTTACCAATATTTTTCGAGGTCCTCTACGAGTTTCGTCAAGGAATGATTCCCAAATTCGCACTCCAAACCCTCCAAATTCTGCTCCGAAAACAGGTGCGGCAGCAGGTTTTCTTTCCCTAAAGTTCCGGTGCGCAGCTGGGATTCTCGCCAAATTCCGGCGACCACCGCCGATGAATACCACCGAGAACAATTACTGAAACAAAATATACCGAAATGGATATTCTTTTTTGCTGATTGATGGAGGCAATGTAATGATTTATTCGATTTTTCTGTGCTTTTTTTTTTAGTTTTCGATCAAGCTTATAAAAAACGAGCATCAAAATATTCCAACATTTTACGATTTCGAGTACAGAGACATGAAAACTAGTAAAGCACATGCTCATGAAAATGGCAGCTAACCTTAATAGCCGATGCTTGATCCATCGTCAATTCATCACAGTTTAAGCTCCTGCAAATTAGTTAAACCAGACATCAGATTAATCCATGCAAGAAAAAACCGAAATGACTCGTTAAAGAAACGACTTTTCGGACCAATTGAAAAAATGTTTTTGCACTCCAAAGTTGGAGTCTGGTTCCAGTATTTTATCAAACACCTTGTATGCACGCAAAACTCATGCACGCTGCACCTATGGAAGGCTGACTTCTCAAGGTTTCTAACCGTGGGTCCTGATCGTCGAGATTCACCCTCTAAGGCCTCCGTTCAATTAATTCTTTGAAGAGCCAAAGGCTGGAATTCGATTTCTGGACAGCTAGTCGTTGTTAGCTCCGGCGCCGATCTCGCTCCTCCAGCTCCGTCGTCACCAGAAACCTACACCGATAACCGTATTGAACAACCTCGATGACCTAGATTCAGTAGGGAGTGCTCGTGTGCCGTGAACAGATAAACATGCACACTAAAACAATATGAATTTGGAACTGAGAAAATGAATATTCATGCCTGCTAAGTGTTTGAGATATTGTGCTATTTATAGCACAGAATACATGCGAGCATTCCCTTTTGGGAAGATGCTGAAGTGGCGCCTAGATGGCGTGACTAATGCGCTGGCAAGCGCACATTGGTCCACGTCATTCGATTACAATAAAATGAATAAAACAATAAAAGAATTCTAACTAACTAATACGTTTTTATTAATGAAAACGCGCTTCTTCGTCAACGACTTCGACTATCCGTTTCTCTCACATGGCAGATCATAACATACCCCCCCCCCCCCTTACGAGCTGACTTGCCCTCAAGTCAGCAGAGAGGGAAAGTCGCGAGCCATACGATCATAATCTTCCCACGTGGCTTCTTCAACGGGGAGGTGGGACCATTGAATCAAAAGCTGAGTAGCAGCCGTATGGTTGCGTTTGACCAGACGACGGGCCAGAATGGCCACCGGAGTGAGCATAATGCGGCCACTATCATCAAGTTGGGGAAACTAGGCAGTAACACGATCATGAGAACCCACGCTGCGCTTAAGTAACGAAACATGGAAAACGGGATGGACGCGAGCAGAGGGTGGAAGATCCAACTTGTAGGCAACCATGCCGATCTTCTGGATAACGGCAAACGGGCCGGCGTACTTAGGACCAAGCTTCCACATGCGACTCTTGTGCATAGAAGCTTGTTTGTAGGGCCGGAGCTTTAAAAAAACCCAATCACCCACGGCAAACGAACGCTCGGAACGATGACGATCAGCCATGGTTTTCATACGATCTTGAGTTTGATGGAGAATGGCTTTAACATCTTGTTGAATAGAGAGCCGCTGCTGAATCAGGTCCTCAACACCTTGAACCGTGGAAGGAAGATAAGGGCCCAAAGAAAACTGGGAGGGTTTAAACCCATACAAAACTTCGAACGGAGTCATGGACAATGCAGTGTGAAAATTAGTGTTGTACCACCACTCCGCGAGAGGCAGCCAACGACTCCAGGACTTGGGGTGAGCATTGCACATGCAACGAAGATAGGACTCCAAACACTGGTTGACGCGCTCGGTCTGACCATCCGTCTGGGATGGTAGGCGGTGCTAAGGTTCTGCTGGATGCCCAACAATTTGAAGAGTTGCTGCCAGAACTGGCTGGTGAAAATACGGTCCCTGTCAGACACCACAGAGCATGGTAAACCATGCAAACGGTAAAAAGAATCAAGAAAAACAGTAGCCAAATGCGATGCAGTGAATGGATGGTGTAAAGAAATTAAAGAAAGTGTGCATATTTGGAAAACCTATCGACTATAACCCAAACTGTATCTTTGCCATCGGAGAGAGGCAGTTGCTCAATAAAATCCATCGAGATATGGAGCCAGGCTTGGTCCGGAACTAGAAGAGGTTGAAGGAGCCCCGGAGATCGCACTGTCTCATGCTTGCATGCTTGGCGAATTTGGCACTGTGCCACAAACACTTTGACCATAGGTTTGAGCTGGAGCCAATAAAAAATCATTTGAATGCGTTGGCAGGTACCATGAACACCAGAATGCCCACCTAAGGATGATGTATGCATGGAGGAGATGATATGAGAACGAAGGGCAGTGGAAGACCCCACATACAGTTTCCCATGATACCGCAGAATCCCTTCCTTGTAGTGAAAATGAGAGACATTGAAAGGGCATGCTAATTGAGAGGCAATGGCTTCTTGAGCGATGGAATCGCCTGCATAGGTAGCCATTATTTCATCAATCCACTGAGGATGCACGGTGGTGGTGGCAAGGAAGTGGCTGGCCTCTGAAAACTCCCGTGAAAGGCCATCGACAACTTTGTTTTTGGAACCCTTTTTGTACTCGATTTTGTAGTCATAGCCAAGGAGCTTAGTCATATATTTGGGGTGGATATTTTCTGTTCAAGGAGGTATTTGAGGCTGTGTTGGTCAGTGCGGATGATAAACTGATTGTGGAGAAGGTAAGGTCTTCATTTCTGGGTAGCGAGGAGAATAGCAAGGAACTCTTTTTCATAAACCGATAAACCTAAGCTCTTGGGACCTAAAGCTTTACTAAGAAAAGCAATGGGATGGTGATTTTGCATGAGAACAGCTCCCAAGCCCCCATACGAAGCATCAGTTTCCACAATAAACACATGATTGAAATCGGGGAGTTGCAACACTGGTGCCGTAGTCATGGCCGTTTTGAGTTGGTGAAAAGCTTTGTCAGCAGCAAGGTTCCATTTGAAATTGCCCTTTTTGGTGAGGTCAGTGAGAGGTTTGGCAATGAGTCCATAATTTCTCACAAATTGCCTGTAATAGCCAGTCAATCCCTAAAAACCCCGTAATGCTTTCACTGATTTGGGCAGTGGCCAATCCAACATAGCCTGAATTTTTGCGGGATCTGCAGCTACACAACCATTACCAATAACATGACCAAGATAATCAATATGAGTCTTACCAAAAGCACATTTGGAAGTCTTGGCAAATAGTTGGTTGGAAGGTAAGACTTCAAAGACTTGGGTCAGGTGGTGGAGATGCTCTTCTAAGGTTGAGCTGTAAACAAAGAAAACTAAAACAAAATCTCGAAGAAAAGGCCGGAAGATGGAATTCATTAAGTCTTGGAAGGTAGCGGGGGCATTGGTCAAGCCAAAAGGCATGACTTTAAACTCATAAAGGCCCGAGGTGGTTACGAAAGCTGTTTTAGGAATGTCCGCAGGAAAAAGTCTTACTTGATGATAACCTGCCCTAAGGTCAATCTTAGAGAAAACTCTAGCAGATCCTAGCTCATCTAATAAATCCCCAATTAGTGGTATAGGAAAGTTGTCTTTGACAGTGAGAGAGTTAAGTTTTCTGTAATCAATGCAAAACCTCCACGTACCATCTTTCTTCTTGACGAGGAGAACTGGGGAAGACCACGGACTGTTACTGGGTTGAATTATTCCGGCTTGAAGCATCTCAGTGACCAATTTCTCAATTTCCAACCTTTGCAAGTAGGGATATCTATAGGGGTGTTGTTTAACAGGCTCTACCCCAGGTTTGATAGGAATGTGGTGATCACAGGCCCTATGGGGTGGGAGAGAGGTAGGTTCAACAAATATGTGTTCATAGTGGCTAAGTAAGGGTAAGATTTGAGCTGGTGTAGTAGAGGGAGATTCCCTAGTGCTGGGTGGAGGCTCCACACTAGTCATCATGCACATAATGATCAATCAACTTCTGCATTTTACCACTCTTAACCCCTTTCAAGGTTAAAGGGGCATTAACTCCTCTCAGAGTGATAACCTTGTTGTTCATAATGAATCTAAGAATGGCTTCATCAAAGTGCAGATAAATGCCTCCCAGTTTCCTAAGAAAGTCAACTCCCATGACCATATCACAACCTCCCAACTGTAATAATCTCACTCCCGTCATGAATTTACACTCTCCCATTTGCCATTGGAACCTAGAACACTTGGAATTACACTGTATTTTATTGCCATCTGCCACTATGACCAATAGAGGGTTGGTAATCTCAATCTCACAATTTAACAATTGAGTTGTTGCAGGATTGAGAAATGTATGAGTACTCCCACTATCTATAAGAATGGTGATAGAGTGTTTACCAACCGTGCCTAAGACTTTGAGGGAATTCGGGGGGGCAGGTGGGGATTGACCAGACACTGCATTAAGAGAGACCTTTAATTCTTCATCCTCTAACAATTCACTATCCAAGTCTAGGCTAACCTCCTTCTCATTCAGTCGTTCCCCAAATCACAAACAATCTTTTACATTTATGACCAGGGTGAAAAGTTTCATCACAATTGTAGCAGGGGTTGTTTTTTCTTCTAGCAGTCATCTCCTAGTTTTCTGAGGGGAGGGTAAGTGTTAGGATGGGCAGTAGGCTCTTTGGTTGTTTTGGTAAGGTGAGGAGGCGAGGATTTCCACCCCTTGCTCCACTGGTTTTGGGGAATACTCTTGGATTGAAAATTTCTGTTGTTCTTATTCACATGAGCTAGATAATTCTCTTGCTTCTTAGCTAGTTGAACTGCAACTGCTAGTGTTGGTGGTTGTAACATATCCACCATCTGACCTATTTCTTCTTTCAAACCTGTGATGAAATTATCTATGTAATATTCCTCAGTTAAGTGCCTATGTTTTTCCCCCATTAATCCTTTTAGTTCCTCAAACTGGACTACATAATCATGAACCGATTTATCTTGTCTGAGCCTCTTAAATTCTCCTGCTATACTTCCCCCACTAATTTCCGAAAATCGACTAATTGCTAACTCACAGAACCTCTCCCATCCGATGTTGGATTAGCCCTCAATGTAATCTAAGTACCAGCTATCTGCCTGTCCTTCCATGTGCATAGCTGCAGTTAGAACCATGTCCGTCTCGCTCATTTTGTTGAATGCAAAGTACTTTTGGCATTTCCTAATCCAGCTCCTAGGGTTATCCCCGGTAAATCTAGGGAATTCAAATTTTGGAGGTTTGTACATAGGTAAATGGCCAGGCTCTCTAGATCTCGAAGAATAAGTGCTCTGGTAAAACTGCATTTTGATTATCATTATCAGTTACTGGAGTAGGATGTGTTGGTGCAATACCTGCTAAATCAGGGGTCTGTGGGTGCGGCGCACCTCCGGTGGTGTTTTTTATCAGCAGTTGCACTTGTTGCATCTGTTGATTGAACGCTTCTGTCATGGATCTCATCATCGTCTCCATTTGCTGTCTGGTTTCGGTCATTTGCCGCTCCAATAACTCAAGTCTGCTCCCTTCCGATGTCGAGGTTGCCGTTGCGGCTGTG